ATCACGGTCCATTAATTCAGCACCGCGCAGATCTCGCAGTAGCAGCACCGACGGCCTTTGTCGTATTCACCGCAAATACGGTGAAAAAGCAATACATTGCATTAAACCTTGCACCTTTAAAGCTTTGGAAGAAAAAGAAAAAAACTAATTGAACCTTCTTCAGTTAAGGCGGTGAACGAAGGTTCTATTTCCTCTAAATGCCTTCACGTGCGTGACAGAAAATCAGGTAACATATTCTTAGTCGATTCGGGCGCAGAAATATCGTTGTTCCCCGTTCCGGCAAAACATAACTTACGCCCCTCCGGCAACAAGTTGTACGCCGCGAATAACACTATCATTGACACCTTCGACACCATTCACTTAACATTAGATCTAGGATTCCGTCGACCCATGTCGTGGAACTTTTGCGTCGCTGCAGTTCTCTCAGCGATTATAGGAGCAGACCTTATCTCTCACTATAACCTCCTTATCGGCAATCTCAAACGGCACCGTCTCGTCGATGAAATAACGGGTCTTTATACCTCAGGAGTTCTCAAAACAACTCTCGTATATTCGATCCACTTAACCAATCCCGCGCACAAATATGCTCATATCATCGCTGACTTCCCGAAAGTTTTTGGCACCGAACAGGCTACACCCCTAGAAGCGCGCGGCGTTTACCACCACATAATTACTTCCGGCCCCCCGATCCACGAACGCGCGCGCCGTTTGTCCACAGACAAGTTACAGGCGGCTAAAAGTCAGTTTAAAAAATACTGCGAAGAGGACCTCTGCAGACAGTCTAGCAGCCCATGGGCAAGCCCATACACATGATTAAAAAAAAAAATAACGAATGGCGCGTATGTGGCGATTACCGTCGTCTTAATGCAATTACGGTACCCGACTGTTACCCGGTACCACACATTCACGATTTCGTTTCCGCACTCCACGGTAAATCCGTTTTATACCTCATTAGACCTCTCACGAGCGTTTTACCAAATTCCGGTTGCACCCGAGGATATACCCAAAACCGCTGTCATCACCCCCTTCGGGTTGTTTGAATTTCGCGCTATGACCTTCGGGCTACGCAATGCCGGACAAACTTTCCAGCGTTACATTCACCGCGCTCTCGGTGACCTGGAATATGTTTTCACCTTCTTCGATGATATACTCATAGCATCTGCATCTGCAGCAGAGCATGAAATTCATCTCCGCACTGTTTTCCAGCGGCTCAATCAATTCCACTTGCGAGTTAACCTGGAAAAGTGCGTCTTCGGTGTACCGGAACTCGTGTTCTTAGGACATATGATTACACCACTAGGATTTAAACCTACCCCCGAGAAAGTCGAGGCTATTAATAACTACCCGAAACCTCGCACGGTCGAGGAATTACGCCGCTTTCTCGTAATTATCAATTTTTACCGGCGATGTATCCCCTCCGCGGCCAAAATACAAGCCCCGCTTCATACTTACATAACCAACTCGCGTAAGCGCGACAAGCGCGAAATCGACCTCCACTAAGCTAGAAGGAGAAGTCAGCAGAAATCATTTAAATCTATCGGATTACTTTTAGTACTCATTTTGTACTAATTTGTACCACTCACAATAATTTTGTACCTCGTGCCGTTCGAAAAAATCCATGGCGCTGCTACTTTAATATTAAGCTAGCAGGACCACCAAAAAAAACAAAAAAA